TTTTTTTTGAGATGGGATCTCACTCTGTTGCCCAGGCTGGAGTGCAGTGGTGTGATCTCGGCTCACTGCAACCACTCCCTCCTGGATTCAAGCGATTCTTCTGCCTCAGCCTCCAAGTAGCTGGGTCTACAGGCACACGCCACCATGCCCAGCTAATTTTTGTATTTTTCGTACAGATGGGGTTTTACCATATTGGCCAGGCTGGCCTTGAACTACTGACCTCATGATCCACCCGCCTCGGCCTCCCAAAGTGCTAGGATTACAGGTGTGAGCCACTGTGCCCAGCCTGCCTTGCCTTTGACAAGGACCAGAAGAGCTTAATTTGTCCTCAACTGTTTTCTCCTACCTTGCCATGTTTGCTTTATGTCCTCTTACCATTAGTACTCTGGGAACCTAGACAGACCAGACACCCCATAAAATTTAAATTTCAGATACACAATTTTTTAGTATAAGTCTGTCCCAAATACTATATGAGACAGAAAGGCTTATGCTAAAAATTTATTTATTGTTTTTCTGAAATTCAAATTTACCTGGTCTTCCTGGTTTTCTGGTTTTGTTTCCGTTTGGGTTTTTGTGGGGAGGGGATTGGTTGTTTTGTTTTATTTCGTTTGTCTGTTCGCTAAATCTGGCAACTCTATACCCAGATTATGAGGAATAGCTATTTTCAACTAACGTTCCACCTTCAAAGTAAATCCAGCCAGTCTGTCGTCGTGAACATACTTACTTTCAAACATGCTTTCAGTTAAGTTCCCCCTACCCCACAAGAAAATCAAGTGCTGGGAAAATGAACCTCATTGTTTTATTTGCTTTCTATAGGTAACCTCCCTTTTCATAACACAGTCAAAACATGAATGAAAGTGGCTAAGATTAGGGAGAATCTTGTTCTTTAATGGTTTTGGTGCTTCTATCTTTCCAGTGAGAGCACAGGTCCTGACCTCCTGTGGGTGACCATGCTCTGATTAAAGACATTCATCAGTTTTTAAAAAGAAGATAAGTTGGGCTGAATTGAGGGGAAGCAGGAGTTTGAGGGTTCGGCACAGAGAGGGCTTCAAATAGTTCAGATACTAGATGCAAACAGGGAGAGGCCCTGCCAGGCCAGTCCCTGAACAGGAGGCACTGAGTGCCCCAAGTGAGTTTGCTGCCAACTGACAGGCAAAGTCTACTTAGCAAAACCTGATTTTTACGTGGCTAGTGGGGCTCAAGCCCCTGAATGAGGCAAAAAGTAAACTACTTTGATGGAGCACTTTCATTCAATTTGGAGCTTTCATCTCTTTAACCCAATTCCATTCATAGTGCCATAATTGTACCTAAGCAAGAGCAAGTTACCCTCTGGGTCCCTGAAGGGAAAGCTATTTTTCCCAATGGCAGTGTCCTCACAGAGCACGTGTGTTTCTAAGTGGCCTTCATTCGGCTAGAGGATCTACAGCTCCAGGAAGAGGTCCATCCCATTTAACCGACACATAGGTATTGAATGCCTTATTCATACACGACACTTTGACAAAAACTGTGAAGGTTGTAAGAATGAACCTCTGCCCTCAAAAACTTTAAAACCTTTAAAACACGTGTGTGGTGGGGGAGGAAGTAAGACCAAAAAATAGAGCATAGTCAAGGGCTTACCTACGAGTCAACAAAGGCCCGGAAAGGGAGCTAGCACTGCAGATGGGCATCAGGAATAAATACGGTAATGGCAGATGGGACGCAGAAGGGATAGAGGAAAGGACCAAAATGAGATCCATGAGGGCTATTGGATAAAACCTTTGAAAGTCACTTACCAAGGCCAGAGATAAGAAAATGTGTTGTCTCCAGGAAAGCAGGCGGACGCCGTATTGCTGAGGACTTTGAAAGTTGGTTATTAAATCTGCAGCAGTGTGTGGACATTCAGGGTTTTTCGGCCAGTGAGTGATAAGATCAGAGCTAGCATTTCATCAGTTACCAAGTGGGTGGGCCTCAGGGGGGAGAGCCAACAGTCACTATGGGTGACTTGCCGGGGTGCTGAACAGCTCTCTTCCTCTTCACCACTCATGTAGCTTCTCTTAGCCCAATAGGATTTTAACTTTGTTGAGACTGTTAGCACCACTTTAAATTAAATGTCTCCAAAAAGGCTAGGTATAATTGAATATAAAGGAACTTAATGGGTCATTCAGAGATAACCCCAGAGGGCCCCCAGGGACTTGGGGAGGAACAGGCTGCAGAAGAGGCCGTGAAGGGGTCTAGGACCAACTCTTACCCTTCAGCTCAGGGCCTCTTTCTTGGAAACTGGCTGATTTATCCAAAATGAGAGAATATAGGGAGGAGTTTAGGTCACAAGCTTGAACCACAATTTGATTCCCAGCTTTAAACTGACGCTCTACGTGACTTTGCAGCCACTCTCCCTGGAATCCCTCCATCTCATCTGTAAAATGGATAGAATAGTACGTCTTGACATCCCAGAGATGATTCCCAAATACACGGACACAACGGAAACCAGATTCTATAAATGCTTTGTTAGAGGGGCAACATCATGTTTTTCAAATCACTTTTGGAAGATGCCGATCATAGTTTTGGTTTGGTTTTGTATAGCCACAGGAAAGGGCAGATGTCCCAGCTCTACCTCATATCATTTAAAAAGTGAACTCTTAAGAATCAGACCCAAGCTGTTGGCCCAGAAGACACTGTCATCTGCACATCTTAGCAACTCACCTCCCAGGTCTCACAGCGACCCCAGCAGGCATCCGTGGTGATCCGAAGGCCCTTGCAGCCTGGCTTCTTGGCCAGGAAAGTGAACTCCCTCACGGCACAGCCCACAAAGGTGCGCAGGTTCCCACTGGAGGTGCCGAGGACACAGCCACAGCCAGCCAGAAGGAGGAGGGCCATGGGGCCAAGGAAGAGGATTGCCAGCTTCATGCCGCTCTTCCGAAGAGGGAAAGGAGAGAGTTTAACAGACCCAGTGGCCTTCAGTGGGGCAGCCAACCATGCATTGGTCACTATCAAAGGGACCTTGCTCCTAGCATTTCAGGGAAGATGAGCCCAGAAATTGTAAATGCCCACAAACTGCAACACAGGTATCCAGAGATTCCTGTAACTAATGCCAGTGTGGCTTCCATAGCCCTCTCTAGATGCCCACCCTCTGAGAGCATTCTCAGGCTTTTCCTTATTGTAACCTAACTGCTGCAGTTGACTTGTGTGTTAAAGAAGTCTGTCCCAACAGTCTTTCCAAAATAAACATAAAATAGGAGTAAAACCAAAAGTAATCCATAACCCAATAGAATACATGAATACATATAAATTATTTGTATTCAGGTCCAGGGTATTTAGGTGCCGTGTTACATACTTTGCTCAAAACCATATTTTAAGCATCATGATGGGGAATGATTTGGGGGAGTGGTTGATAAGTATTAATAATAGTACTCCCTTTGCATTGTTACTAAACCAACTCACCACTAAACACAGATATGCAGAAGATATCATGAAACCTATCACCTAAGGTGGTGGCCATTCATAAATGTATCCTACTCACTATAAATTGCTTCTGCTCTAGACTTCTATTTGTATTACCTACTTATAATTCAATTTAAATCCAAATGATGGAAAGCATAGGAGTTATTTAACACATAACCTCAACCCACTGTCAAGTTTAACCTCTCTGGGTCTTGGTCATTCCCTGTGCTCTTTCAGAAGCCAAAATCACCCCCCTTCATGCTTAACCCAGTAGACAGAACTCACCTGGATTCTGAAGTATAAAGGATATGGCATTCAGGGACCCTGACCCCCCACTGAACTCATTATTCTCACAGTTCCTACTTCTGACCTTACAAGTTCTCTGGGCTTCCCCTCCTCTGGAATGAGGTTACAGATATAGAGAAGCACTTACCTAATCTTGCAGGAGCCAACTCTTCTTTTAGAGCTGAAACTTGCACTAAGATTTCAGGAAGTCACAATGAATGGTAGAGGTTTGCTCTGGGTAAATGTCTCTACCTTCTGTTACTGGGCTGCGTAATTGCTCAAATATATAGGAAAGGTCTTGTCAATCAAAACAAACGAGAGGCAGATCCTTACAGGAACTACTAAACACATCAAAGCCATGGAATATAAAGCCAGTCTCTATTTTCCAAAACTGATTAACTTAAAGGGTGTTGTTTTGTTTCTCAACATCACCTACTGAAACAGAAAGTTACCTTGGTGGGTGGCATAATCCTAGGGAAACAGAGGTAGTTCCACCTGGCTCTCAGGAGAACAAATGCATTGCGGCAGATGGATTAAATTTTCCTTCATGGTAACCACGACTTTCCTTTGAAACAGGGGTAAGTGACTAGCAGCTCATAGCAAACTCTTTCCTTTAACCCAGAATGTGTTTCAATACACTGAAAAATAACAGAAGCATAATTCTTGCTGGCAGGAATGCAGAATCACTAACTGAAAAATGGAAATCACAGTGAGAAGAACCATGTTGAAAGTCTTAAAATTAGCTAAGAATTAGATAATATTAATAACACCTTAAAACGAATCATTTAGGAAAAAAATACCAAGATGTTCCAAGTGATTATCTTCCGGCATAGGAATTAAAGAAAACTTTTCATTTCTTTTATATGGTTTTCAGCATTTTTCACATTTTCTACATTGGGCAGGCTTTTGTAATAGAAAGTCAGTCAATATCAATATTTTTAAAGTAAACCAATAGGTATGCATTTGTATAGAGTGTAAGGACATTCAGTGCTGCTCTGATAGAGACGTTTCATCAGATTTTTGGTCTTTAATTATTAAAATAAGAATAAAGGTTAGGCATGATGTAATCATATCTGTAATCCCAGCACTCTGGGAGGCCAAGGCGGGTGGATTACCTGAGGTCAGGAGTTCGAGATCAGCCTGACCAACATGGAGAAACCCCTCTCTACTAAAAACATAAAATTAGCTGAGCATTGGGGCACGTGCCTGTAATCTCAGCTACTCAGGAGGTTGAGGCAGGAGAATTGCTTGAACCCAGGAGGTGGAAGTTGTGGTGAGCCGAGACTGCACAATTGCACTCCAGCCTGGGCAAGAAGAGGAAAACTCCCTCTCAAATAATAATAATAATAATTAATAAATAAAATAAAATATTTTATGAGTATGGGATATAGTTTATATTTCAATCTACAATAACAGTATATGAGTGGATTAAAAATATACTTGTTCATGGCATTTTTCTGGGTGCTCTAAAAAATCAATGAAGCAGACATCATCTTTGCCCTTAGGACTTTCGACATCATAGTAAATAATGACATAGGCAGAGACATTTAAGATGCACACTAACTAGTGAGACTGTATAAAGAAGTTAAACCATTTCCATTTCCTGCAAAGAAAGGTATTCTTTAATGTACAGCTCATTATAGATTTCATTTTCAAAACAGATAACAATGCCCAGTGAGTCCATCATTTTACCATGCCTCTCTTTAGAGCAGAATTATTATATGTGTTTTATAGAAAATTGAACTAGGCTTGGAATAAAGGACTTTCTTCAGCCCTTCAGCCTGTGAGTAGCATAACCAGAAACGGAGTATTCTGGGGAGGGACGCTCAAGGGGCCTGATCTTCCTAACTTGCTAGCCAAGAGCTAGCCAGTCGCGGTGAGCTGCCATCCTGAGCTGTTTCTGAAGATGGCTGCTCAACCCTTTTAGACCTGAAACACATGCTTGTGTCTGCAGTGTCACAAAATACAACAGACTACAAAGGCCAAGAGCATCTTTCTTGCACAATCTCCAACTTCTTTATAATGCAGAGCTGTGGCATCATGCATTCTACCCTGTCAGCCTTAACTTTATAAGAATGACCATTCATGGCGATCATTAAAAAATCTGGAGACAACAGATGCTGGAGAGGATATGGAGAAATAGAAACACTTTTACACTGTTGGTGGGAGTGTAAACTAGTTCAACCATTGTGGAAGACAGTGTGGCGATTCCTCAAGGACCTAGAAATAGAAATTCCATTTGACCCAGCAATCCCATTACTGGGTATATCTCCAAAGGATTATAAATCATTCTACTATAAGGACACGTTCACATGAATGTTCATTGCAGCACAGTTTACAATAGCAAAGACCTGGAACCAACACAAATGCCCATCAATGATAGACTGGACAGGGAAAATGTGGCACATATATGCCATGGAATATTATGCAGCCATCAAAAACGATGGGTTCGTGTCCTTTGTAGGGACATGGATGAACCTGGAAACCATCATTCTCAGCAAACTGACACAAGAGCAGAAAATCAAACACCGCATGTTCTCACTCATAGGCGGGTGTTGAACAATGAGAACACATGGGCACAGGGAGGGGAGCACTACACACTGGGGTCTGTTGGGGGGAAATAGGGGAGGGACAGTGGGGAGTGGGAAGTTGCAGAGAGATAGCATGGGGAGAAATGCCAGATATAGGTCATGGGGAGGAAGGCAGAAAATCACACTGCCATGTGTGTACCTATGCAACAATCTTGTATGTTCTTCACATGTACCCCAAAACCTAAAATGCAATTTAAAAAATTAAAATTAAAATTAAAAAAAGAAGAATGATCATTCATAATCCCGAAGCATCTACTGTGTACCAGGTACCATGAAATCTGCTGTGCTCTTACATATGTTATCTCTAGACCTCACAGCAATTCTTTAAGTCAGTTATTCTTTTCTTCGTTTTACATTGGAAGAAATAGAAACTCAATTGTTTTGTAACCTGTCGACTTCCAAAGCTTTCAACAACACCGGGAATAGCAAATGGTCTATTCATCCTCGTAACCAACTACCATTAATGGGAAGCGGCTACCGGGAATGCTGTTTTAGAGAAGGCCGCTGAAATCATTCTAAGGACAGAGGACAGTGGCCCATCAGCTTCATCCTGGGTGTAGGAAAGGAGAATGGTGTATGGATGCCACCTTTTGCAATCTAGGCCGTGTCACACCTCTCTATGGGAAGAGTGAGAGGTTGTAGCGTGACTTCAAAGGCTAATTAATGCCCTGCTACCTACGGAATGTCTCGGCACCACAGACCATGCGTGTGCCCGCTACCTTCCCTTCAATCTACATTGAAGTTCCCACCATGAAAGTCACTCTCTTGCGGTAGCAAACAAACATATGAGTGATGTCTCCAAGGACAGGCTTTGGAGAATCTTCTCTCCTTTTATTCCATGATCATCTTTACATGGATTTATTGTCACCTTGGTAGATTAGGCACAAACTATAGGTTCCCTAGGGGTAAAAAGAAAGGAGAAGTGGTGAACCTGAGCAGTCATCTTGAGTTCTAGGAGGAGCATGAGTCCAGAGGAATGAGCCAAGTGTAAGTGACTCAAATGAGTGATTGAGAAACTGAGGCCTGCCCCAGGGAAGGCAGCCCCAGGTGGGAACATCCTGGGGTGCACACAGTGTGCAGGAGATGGAGACACTGACAGAGCCTGGAAACACACCCTTCCCTCCCACAGCCATGTTGATTCTCAGTGGCACAATCTCCTTTGGGACTATCTTGAGCAAGTCACTTCTCTGAGCCTCAGTTTCTTCACCTGTAACACAGTGGGGTTGCACCCTGTGACTCCTAAGGCCCTTCCCAGCTCCAGAATTTAAAGATTTATAAACTATTTTCTGAGTACAAGAAGCTGAGGACAAGTCAGAGGGAGGGTGCAGAAGGTTACACAACCATAAAGTTGGCCACGTTGGTGCTGAAATCTTGATGCTGACATTCATCTGCTTATGATCTTGGACAAGTCTAGTAACCCACCTGGATCTCAGCTTCCTACAAAATTGAAAATGCCTCCATCGTAGGGGTTATGTGAGGATACTACAAAATAATATCTATGAATTACTTATCACAGGGCTTGATACATGATAAGCAGGCAATAATTGTTTTCTCTTTCCTTCCCTGGAAATGCATCATTATCATGTGTACCACTGAGAAATAAAAAGCTGCCAATAAAAAATTATATCACACCAGCAATTATTAGACATATCCTGATTTCAAAAATATTAGATATGAAAAAACAAAATTTGAGTCTGAGAGAGAAGCAAAGTCTTTGGGGACTACGAGACCTCACCAGCCTTATGAAACCA